TGACTATAGTTGAGTCTCTTACGAGTGACGTTTTATCGAGGACACTGTGTGCACAATTATTAGGCAAGTTACATTTTTGAGGATTAATTCTGTTATTGTACAACTACAGTGCTCTTGGTCAATCCAAAATGTTAACAAACCCTCAAACTTGAACATTTAAGTAATAAAAGTGAAGTTTTGGCCTTCTTAAGAGAATATCTATATGTACACCATTATTGGGTAACTATTAGTGTGCAGAATTAATATGCAACTAAATGAAAAACTTTTCCCATCTCACTTGTTTATTTTCACCTGTTAAAGTGAGTATAATAAACACATTCAAAATTTACAAATAAACATTTCTGAAGTTTAATAATGAGTTCCTGGTTGCTTCATGCTTGATTCTTCTCAAATCTTTGGCGGTTAATTTGAGTCTTTTCTTCTCGACACGTTTCTTGCGACCCTGTTGACTATTTGCAACGAAACGTTTGATGGTTCTGTGATCACGCCCCAATATCTTCGATATTTCAAGAGTGCTGCATCCCTCTGAAAGACTTTTTACAATTCTTGACTTTTCAGAGTCAGTTAAATCTCTTTTTTGGCCCATTTTTCCTGAGGAGAAGAATCTGCCTAATAATTATGCACACCTTGATATAGGGTGTTGATCTCCTTAGGCCACACCTTCCCTCGTTACACAAATACACATCACCTGACATGCATTAAATCCAATAAGCATTCAAGTTTATACAGGTTGGAGTTGGAAATTATGGATAAAATGATGATATGGTCAAAATAATCACTTGCCTAATAATTGTGCACACAGTGTATATGAAGGTGGGCAATGTGGGTACAACAGTATAGTATACAGAAAACTTATGTCCAATGTCGTTGGTCTGATTTCCCTCAAGAACCTGCTCTTTTGTGTGCATGTGCAGGTCATTATAGGCAGTGTTGGTTCTCATGTGGTGAGAAGAAGTTATCATTCAAAAGACCTCCTGGTGCTTTTTTATGTAACAAAGCTGACTGTGTGTCAAAGAAGTGATCATTAACAGACTGGACAACTAGTGTGACAGCAGCTAATGAGGCGCTGTACAGAACTTTGAGGAAAATTTAAAAGGAGCTATCAAACACAACATATTGTTATTTAAAGAAAACTAGCCTGCTATGATTTTTTTTTCTGGCTTGCTTTCATTTCATCAACCAGCAATGTCTCAAATTAAAACACACACATCTGTTCTAAATCATGCTCCGTAGCCAAAGCCAAGGTGTGTGAATGAACAGAGTGGGCAAATTTGGACAAAATTGTTCAAAATTCCCAAAACGATCGACAAAAAAACAGAGAAACCTAAGAATCACGGTTTCTGATCGCTCCACCTGTTTTAAAAGGATGAGAACCTCATTAATCCAAGCTCATAAAAGTGCTGACCCTTGACGATGCCTCAGTCCTCGGAGAGCATTTAGTGATTCGCGCTGAAAAAAAAAGGACATTTTTCTTTGCACAATGACAGCTGGCACAGGGGACCAACACAATAACACCTGATCGATGCAGTTCAACAGAACAGCCGGGCTCACGGCAGTTTTGTCATTTTCCTCTTCCTTTTGTATTTTCATGATGTGCAAGAAGACATTTGATGTGTCACAAATTGCTCTTTTCTGCACTCGCTGTTGTGAACGAGTCGGCGGATAAATGTGTTCACACACACAGTTGAAACCAGAAAGTTACAGATAGTGGATAAAAAGACCCTTTTTTCACCTCATTGTTTGACATTAAACCAGAGTAAACTTTTCCTGTTTCAGATCAGTTAGGATTACCAAAATTATTTCTATTTGCCTATATGCCAGAATTATGAGAAAGAGAGTTGGTGGATGTATTGTAAGGCACACCTCAAACACACTGCTTCCTTTTGTAACAACATGGAAAATCTAAAGAAATCAGGAAGACAATTGTGGACCTCAACCTTGGATATTATTTCCAGATGCCTGAAGGTTCCACGTTCATCTGTTCAAACAATTATACGCAAACATGAACACCATGGGAATGTCCAGCCATCATAGCGCTCAGGAAGGAGACGAGTTCTGTGTCCCAGAGATGAAGCGCTTTGGTAAGACAGCTGCTAAGCTGTCAGTGTGGAACTACAGTGGTGTCTATTAGGGGCTTAAATGGAGGCTTTGGCGTTTTAGTTTATGTTCAATTGTACTGAACTGTGGCGTTTTCAGACGGAGCCAACCAAAATCCAACATTAAAGTTAGATGTGATAAACTGCTGCAGTGCTGCACAGCTGGCTGCAGCAGGTCGGCCTGTCGATCCATCTAACCGTGGCTCTGTTAACATCATAATATCTCTTATCTCCCCAACACATTTTATTTTTAGGACTGAAGTCAGGACAAATATATAGGCACCGATTAACTTGGACTTAACCATTTCGGTGTCATCAAGCGAAGGTACTTGACATCATCCGGTTTCCTGTTTGCAGACAAAGCCTCTGAACAAAACACTTGGCTTTAAAGGAAGGTAGCAGTAATCCAGTGTCTCCTGCTGTTATTCTGAAAGCTGCTCTGTTACTCTGAAGTCATGTTGTCTGGAGGACAGTCAGCTGCTTGCATGAAGGAAAAATGGGTTTACATTTTTTCCGTAAGTTTACAAAGGTCAGTTTTCAAGACATTTACTTGAGTCAAAAGGCTACAGGCTTGTGTCTCTTTGCATTTCCTTTGCACTGACTGCTTGGCTATTTAACGTGCTAGGTAGCTAACAAATAATCTAATAACTCCATCTGTAGAACACACCGTGCTACCTTTGAGCACCACCTTGTCCACTACCAGGGTTTTATAGAGTCGAGTACAGATTGAAGACAGGTGCACGGGGGTATGACCTGTTGATTAACCTGCCCCTCCAGCTCAGACAGGCATGGAGGCAGAGACTGGCAGCTAAGCAGAGGTGGAGGCAGGAGGCCTGACAAACCACCAGGGCTGCCATCCCTGAGCCTGGCTCTGCCACTGGCTCAGAGGAAACCACTGGACTNTCTATCATCCATCCATCCATCATCCATCCATCCATCTATCCATCCATCCATCCATCTATCCTTCTACCATCCATCTATCATCCATCCATCCATTCCATTCCATTCCATTCCACAGGAGTTCAGATGTCTGTATGGTATGCACATTTATAAAATATGTAGTTTAAATCCCTTAAATAATGTGAGCTTTGAGTAACACCTAACAAATCCAAATAGCTGACGTTGCCATGGAAACACTGCTGCATGTGGCTTAACAGAGGTGACTGCAGTCCAGGCTGCGTGTGCAGAGACAACTTTACCGTGACTTCTCTTGTCAAGACAAATCAAACAAATCTCACTCGTTCGGAAAACCTAATTTGATTTTGTTCATTTAGAAACGTAATCACTTTTGACGATCTAAAACAGAGTCTGCGAAACTTTCAAAAGAAAAGGAAAAACTGACAAACCAATTAGTTCTACGGCCTGTTCGTCACTGATTTAATTACTGAAACATCCTTAAATATGTGTGTTTTATGCAAATGCATTGCTTGAAACGAGCCTGTTTCTGTCCCAGAGAGAGAGATCATCTTTCGGAGCTGGGACGGAGATGTTATCAAAGTCAACACCCACAACAACGAGACAGAACTCCTGCTGAAAAACACAACATTTGTAAGTAAGCCAACACTGTAAACTTTTAGAAGCATACTCTGGTCAAGAATATATAATGTAAGATTTTTATTTTTTTATTTTTTGGAGGGTGCAACATGCCTCATCATTACATTGGTCTGCTTTGCCAATGGGTGAAACAGGTATTCTGACCCCACTACGGTCAGGTTTAGCTTTTCACAGAGGTTGTGAGAAGGCTTTGGGGGTTGCATCAAGACATATCTGGTTTGACAGGTGTACCTGTAAAGTAATGTTAGTTTTCGAAAGCTGAGCAGAAAAAAAAAAAAAAAAAGGTGGAAAAAAACATAACTATTTCTTGTTCTTTCCACAGGCAACTTTTAAGGCCTCAAAGTTTGCAGTTTCTCCAGATCTGAACTTCGTTCTTCTGGGATACGATGTCAAGCAGGTGAGAAGCTCTTAATATTCCAGGTGCATGCATCTGCTGATGTTTGGCTGGAGGCTGCGAATACTGGAGGTTTACAGTTCATGAACTAAAGGGAGATCGAGTCACCGCTGATCTCCATCTTGCATGAAGATGTAAGTTTTAAAAAATGTGAAGGACATCAACATGCTTTATTAGTGACACTGAAACACAAACTGTTTCTCTACATCGCTGCGAAAAATGCATTATTCAATACATGTTATGAATAATAGAGCATGTTAAAAACCCTCAAAAGCTTTCCCTTGAACAGCTTTGATCAAGGTATAATGACTAAGGGGCGTTTTGGGTGTTTTGACTCTTAATTGAAGCTGTACTGTATGTGACCATCACAGAGTTGGATGCAAAGAAGTACCGTATTTTCCGGACTATAAGTCGC